AATTTTTTTGTTGCAAATTTGCACGACTATTAATTGCCTCCAATTCGTATGTTTTATGACAAATGTATTTGCTGGTAATTTTAGTTATTAGCGGCACAAATGACTGTTTGTGATTAGGATATTATTTGTTGTGGTATATGATGAAGATATTTGTTGTACTTATTGGATTCTATTCCAATATATTAATTATGATATTATGAATAAATACCACAAATGTAAACTCTCAAATTCAGTTAACAATTAAAAATTAAATATGCTTACAATAGTTCAAAAACGTACAAACAACAATCTTAAAATCCAATGTTGATACTTAATACTGAATAAATCTACTATAGTCTTGATATTGTGCACCAGTACCATAACACCAAATTCTATGATCATCTCTATCACCAACATTTGTACATGTGAAATCTTCAAACTGGTTCAACCTGTATTAAAGATAATATTGAAATTTGAGTTAGCATTCCATTTGAGGATGTTATAAATAAACCACAGCATAGTTAGTAAATACTCCGTTTAATACACGTATATGTACCCGTACGTACTTTATCCGTTTAAAACTTCCGTATCCGTATTATTGTTGAGTCGTTTCATTTTTCCCCGTTCATTTGATAGTTCCCGTACTAAACACGTATAAAACCCGTATAACACGTTTATTATCCGTATTTTACGAATTAAATTGTTAACTTTACTATTATTTATATATTTATTTATTTTAAAAATGATTAATTTTATATATTTATGACTATTAACGTACTATTAAACGTAACTTTAACTTAGAGATGAAGTATAATACCCGTACGTATTTTTTACGTAACTTTCCCGTACCGTATTTTACTAACTATGAACCACAGTGGAGGAATTAATTTAGGTTATAATACTAGATGGAAAAGCAATACTAAGTACTACCACATCTCTAATAAACTAATTAATAACTTACCTATGGGGCTCAATTTTTGACAAAAAACTTCAACCAATCCGACCTCTAGTTCCTTCATGCCTAACAATTGCACGCACTTAATTAGTCGGGACTCCTTAAACTCCTCAAGAATGGGGAAGCAGTCCATAACTTCATTGTACAGAGAAATGAAGCAAAGGAAAACACTTGCTCCATTCGGCCTATTCAACACTACAAAATATGCAACACGAAATCCAAAAGAACAGGGTCAAAATTCAACACAACAAAATGTTACAAGTATGCAAACCATAAGCGGACAAGTCAACAAAACAAAAATTCTCATGGCTCACTTAGACTGTAATCTCAAATCTACAACCTGTTAATAATAACCCATAGAAACTAATTTACAGACACATCTCAACCAACAAACTCTTTACCCTGTAGAGAAAGAGAGCATGGGAACTTACCAATGATTGAAGGAGGCCACGACAGGTAATGAACATGCGACGAAAAGAGATTGGGATGAAATTTTGTTGAGCGCGGCGGGAACTTAGGGTTAGAGGACGAGCTTCACGTTGCCGGAGAGCAGCAGATCCAGTCCTTACTATCGCAATCCCCATCTCGGCGCGACTACTCTTTCTCACCCGCCCTGGATCTGCTGCTGCGATTGTTATAGATTAGTTTCTTGAAGAATTCAAAGATAACAACTACCGTCGAGTAGCCGATTATGAGGGGAAATGTCGAGTAAGATTCAGCGGGCGGCTCAATGGCAAGGTAGGTTCTACATTGAAGAACGATGAAAACCCTAGATGAGCGCGTCCACGCTACCTTTCGATTCTATAAAGGAGTTGTATAAAACCGTTAACTCCGTCTGATCTAGGATTTATGGAAAATATTAATGATAAATAAGTAGTCGCAAGAATTTAATTATTATTATAAAAACAAGTAGTAGAGACTTATAATTTTGCCTCTAAAACTTTGGATTTAATAAATAATTATAAATTGCTGCGTGATCATGAGGAAGAAAGGACAAATAATTATTTGCCTCCAAAAGTCCATCGACCAAAATTTTAGATGACAATAATTAGAAATCTGCCTCTAAAGTTTAGAATTTATTAACAATAAATATCAGTATGTAAAAGATAATGTAATTAGAGGCAAATATTAAGATATATAGAGGCAAATTTATATGTGTTGCGTATAAGATACTTTTAGAGTCAGATAAAAAAATTTATAGAGGCAAATTTTATATTTGTTGTATAAATATATATTTAGAGGCTGATATAACATCTGCCTCCAAAATTTTGTCGCCATAGGTAAATTTTCTTGTAGTGAAGGATCCATAAATATACTGTTGGATAACAATGGCACATCACAAATATGTTGAGCCCAAAACTAGGGATGACATAAGTATTCGTGGATATTTGCTCGAATCCGATCTAATTAGGTAGGGTAAAATCCATATCTTTTTTTTTTTTTTTTTTGCGGATGTGGGTAAAACCCGAATCCGAATATTGTGGGTGATGGGTTGATGTTTTTTTCACTATCCAACCCAGATCCCCCGATTGTAATGTATGTATTTTATCCAGAATTTGTCTTTTTTTTCTTCCTCATATGTAATATTTTAAATATATATAATATTTTCATGAAATTATGTTCTATTCAACTAATTTTCTTTGTTCTATTGATTTATTGTTGTATTTTTCACTTATGTAATTGTTAACATGTTAGTTGAACTTATGAACAAAAATTACTGCCCATGAATAACCATAAATACCCGAAACCGAACGAATTTGAATATAATTTTGATTTTCTACCTGATTCTTGTGTGAGTAATAAGTATGAGCAAAACTCAAATTATTTTGAAAAGGGTAGTGAAAATGCACTATACTGACCAAAAAAGTCGGTATTGATTGTGGGTTCATCAAATCAAATGTCCAATCGGTGACTTGGATGAAATATGAGGGTTGCAACAAAATGGTACATGATGAATGAGAAATTTACGTATAACGAAAGGCTAACTATACATACCGAGTTTGTCTCAGTGTGATACTGACTCTAGTTTGGTTGGTTGATTGATTGAGTAGTACATGAGAGAAAATAGAGTACTTGTTATGTCAACAAAATTGACAATTCATCAACACTTAAACTCGAATTGGAAACAACCGATCGAGTATGGTGGATGGTACATGGGAAGTTGATTGGATGATGCTGTAAATCTATTCATCGTGATTTTTTTTACAAAGTTTAAACATTAAACATAATATTATATGAAATGAGACAACACGATTGTTTTGTTATTATTATTTTAATAAAAAAAAATATTGGCAGATTGGCCCTGTGATTGTTAGTTTGTGGTATAAGATTTATTATTGAATCTTTCTCAACAACTCAAACTATTGACAACTGATTCTTGACACGGTCTCAGAACCTTCTGTTGCCGATAGGTCTTCTGTTTGAATTCCAACAACCCCCACTTGTTAAACACATGGTATTTGGACCAGCGCAACTTTCAAACCTTTAAGAATCGGATTTTGTTTGAGTGAGCGTCTTAGTATGTGATATAGAATTCGTCGAATAAACAAGGATCAATTTGAGATTTACTATATTTTTTTGGGTTAGGGGCGTTATTTACGGGGAAAAGGGAGTCTAACTCTAATGCACCTTACGATCTATGAGACTATAACTAATTAAGGGTGTATTAAAAAGCACAAATTTTTTTAAAATTCCCTCTTGGGTTTAGCTTTGCTTAATGTCCAGCTTAATTATATTCCTTTCACATTATGAGATACCGTTACAACCCCCTTTGTAATTATAGGATATGTTCTCTCTTCTGTTTTTTTTAATCAATGGTTAAGATTAAAAGAAGTGTATTTTTAAAATGGAAAAAACTTACCACACTGAATCATTGACCCATATAAATGGGGAAAATCCTAACTCCTTCCTCTCTCCCGCGGACAGCTCTGCTCTCCCTCCCTCGTGCGTCGTGGCCTGCTGCACACCTGTCGTGCGCTCCAATGTTGTCGCATCCGCACCGTGCCGCGGCCCTCCGCCTCCCTCCACCACTGCCTCATCGTCCCACGACCCTCTGCCTCCCTCAACCTCATCGTCCCACGACCCTCCTCTGTCTCACTCCACCTCCAGATGCGCCCTCCACCGCCTCCCTCCACCCTTGCCGGTGACATCTCTCTCTTGTCGCCCTCCTCTACCGCCAACCTCATCCACTGACGTCGTCGCCTCCTTTGCTCGCCTCTTCCGGTGTTTGTCCCTCTGCCGCTATACTCTTCCTCCTCCCTTTCATTTTTTAGATCTTTGATTTTTGGATTTTCATATCTGATTTTTTTTCTAGTGGTAATGATTTTCTTCTAGTAGTGGTACGAGATGGAGTGGTACGCTATCACTACCATGTACCAAATGGTAGTGGTACCAAATGATAGTGGTACGCTACCACTACCATTGGTACTAATGGTAGTGGTAGCGTACCACTAACACACTGACTGGTGATAATTTTTTGCAGGTGGTCGAAGCGAGTCTGATTCAAAAATTTCGCCGGAAAAAATCTGTCGGACGGAGAAGTGGAAAAAGGAAGAGAGAGATAGGAAGAGAGAAAAATGTATTTATTGTAGGATTTAAATTAAAAAAAAACATGTATTTAATATAAATTTTGAATTCCCAATGTATAATTAATAGACAAAAAAGGGTTAATTGCATGGTTGGTCACTGAGATTACAAAATACGTTTAAGTTTGGTCACTCGAAATATTTAAATCCATTGATGGTACTTCAGTTTACGCAAAGCGTTCACGTTTGGTCACTCTCCGTCCAACTTCGTTAACTTTGGCTGATGTGGCAGTCAACTCTCAAAGTTGACCGTTAACTTAGTGACGTGGCAACTAAAAAATTATTAAAAATAAAAAATAAATTTTAATATTTTCCACCTCATATATTACATTCATTAAAAAATAAAAATTAAAAAACCTTATTTCTTTTCTATTGTAATGCTAATACACTGATAAGTGATAACAATTATTATTGTCAAAAAAAAAAAAAAAGTGATAACAATTATTAATACTACTGATCTTAATTTATTGACTAATTGATCATCACGACCAGGTGGAGAAGAGGGGTTCCCAAATCTCGGCGAAAACCTCGACGATGATCCTGTGGTGATGACCGGAGTTGAGAGACAAGAAACACTGCAAAAGCTGCTCCAAATCTCTGGCCCCGAATATCTGCTTCTCGATTATCATCTCCATCATTGAAGTCCTGAAATCGTTGTAAGGATCGCTCGAGCTTTTCACCACTGCAAAGCTCCACTTCACTTTCCCGTCCAACGGCAGCATCTGACTTTTGTCACCACATCCTGATTTTCACGGCGACGAGGTTTGCGGCGGCGGTGACGGCGGCGGCTGACAGAGAGATCCGACGAATCGGAAGAGAAAAACAGAGTTTCGGATTCGTCTTTGTTGTCGTACCGATTTTTGTCGACTTCTCGTCCTTCTTCTCAGTCGCTGACTTCCGCCGAAATAGGCGCTGTCGAGGGAGGAAGAACTGAAAAGAGAACTCGTTTCCCGCTTCTGGGTTGTATCCTTCTTCTTCTTCTTCTTCTTGCTTTCCACCCTCTGTTTTTGGGTACTCTGTTTTTTTCTGGTAGTAAGATAGGGTCAGGGGAGAAGCAGGGGACACTGCAATCAGGATGATAGAGATGCTTACAAGGCATATGTTTCGCCTCAGCCCCGGTCTCGAACTCGTCCTTGCAGACAGCGCATTGATTCGTCTCGGAATTCAGGGCCTCGCCGACGGTGGAGAAGCCAACAACACATCATCTCCATGAGCCACAGCGACTCAGCGAGTTAGTCCCCCATATACAATCCATTATCATAATAGAAATTGGGTGGGTGTTCTTCTGAACAGAAAGAGAATGGATGATCACTGCAACTGCAAGAAACAAAACAGAGCAAACCCATGCCCCCAATGTCTCGTTTCACAAGACTGTACACAAGCAAAGCTGCTGCAAAGAGGGAAAAGGAACAAGAAAATGCCAATCGAGATAGAGAGGGCAGCTTTGTCCAGTCCAGTGTCAACGCCCCCTCCTTCTGATCGGCTAGTTGGGCTACTTCTTCACCCACATCGCATTCTACTGTTACTGTTGTATGTGCTAAAGGGAAGTAGTTAGGTTGTTCAGCACAAGAGAAGGTATGAAAACGTTATCTATGAGTAGTTATCTCGGAATTCAGGGCGTCGTCATCTCGGAATTCAGTGTATTAGCATTACAAGAGAAAATAAATTAGGTTTTTTATTTTTGATTTTTTTATGAATGTAATAATGAGGTGGAAAATATTAAAATTTATTTTTTTATTTTTAATAATTTTTTAGTTGCCACGTCACTAAGTTAACGGTCAACTTTGAGAGTTGACTGCCACATCAGCCAAAGTTAACGGAGTTGGACGGAGAGTGACCAAACGTGAACACTTTGCGTAAACTGAAGTACCATCAATGGATTTAAATATTTCGAGTGACCAAACTTAAACGTATTTTGTAATCTCAGTGACCAACCATGCAATTAACCCAGACAAAAAATAATTCATTCATTCATTTTTTTGTCATACCCAAAACGTCCTTGATTGTGAATCTCACAAACTCCGTGTCTCCCTTGGCGGAAGTGAGCATATCCCGCCCCTCTGACATTATTTGCAGGAAACCAAGACGTACGCACATACGTTGTCGCTTTAACATTTAACTTTGTTCGTACGTGGTTTAGAATTAGATAGACTTCCATTTACTTTCTCCTGCATTGAAGAATGAATACCATAAGGGAGGATAAGGTTACATTAATCATATGTAGCGACCAACCGCCACCGATTAAATATTCCAAAAATGAAATCACAGGGCAGCTGCCAGGCCACGTTCGTAACAGTACAGGCGTGAAAGGGATAGCAATGGATCCAATCCATCATACATTGCACGCCATAAATTAAAGAACATTCAAGAGAGCTGCCAGGGTTAGCGAAAAGAAGCAACGTCAATAATAATAATAATAATAATAACGACGAAAGCGATCGACGGGGATAGATTCAGGCCAGCTGCCGTCTGCCGGCATCACATATTGGTGCTGTGCTGCTTCCATCTCATTGCTTTATATCGATTTCCATATTGTTCAGCCATGCATGCAGTCTGCAGATGCAACACCCAACTAAATTGGGCTGACTACTTTCAACGCAAAGGTGCCACTGCCACTCTCTGTCGATGACACATCTTCAAATAATTGATGCATATATATCATATTTAGTGGTTGGTGCGAGTTCAGACGCGAAATCTCTCTCCACCAGATTATCTTAATCACTATCATGCTAATTGAGATTAGCTAGTTATTTTTTTACCTTTCTGGAGGCCACGATGGGTCATGTTGAAAAAAAATATATAGGATATAACTTGTCAAAGTACGGGTGAGTAATTACAAAGCATCATCGAGCTCTAGCTTATTTGAGTCTTGAGATATTGGAGTCCAGTCTAGGTAATTAGGAAATAAGGACAAAAAATTATGATATGAGGTGAGACAATTGCATAGGTGTGTTTCAATTTAATTAATAGTAAACACAACTTTTAGCAACCAAAAGGACAAAAAATAATTATATATTTTTTTTAATTGTCACGTCACTCACTTAACGGTCAACGGTGAGAGTTAACCGTCACATCAGTAAAAGTTAACAGAGACTAACGGCCAGTGACCAAATTTGGACATTAATCTAATTTAAGTGACCACGTATAGAATAAATTAATTTTAGTGACAACGAGAACTTCACTAGTAATTCAAGTGATCAAACTTGCAATTTAGCCAGAGAAATAAACTTGTCGTGTGAAACAAAACTTACTATTCAGTATTCATCAACACACGGTCTCGCCGAACCCAAAATCCTTATCCTTATCCTTACTTAATATTATAGGGTTTGAAAACAAATAGAGTGTCACGTCAGCCCATGGCCAGCTCTCAGGGCCTCCCACCCATCAACGAATGAATTTTTTTTTCTTTCTCAAATTTAGTACCTTGGTTCACTTCGCCTACCTTCTCGGTTAGCTACTTAACTCATTCCATTATGTTTTCTTCCTTTGTATACCATAACTCTTGTTTTTGCTTTTGTCCAAGAATCTAATATGATATGAGCTGCCAAAATCAAGTAGTTGTTATTTTCTTCCCCTCTTTCTTCCCAAGTACAGTTGTATCTCAGGCCTTTCAATGGCGGCTGCAAGTGGTACTGGATACAGAAAACAGCCACCAGCTACGGAGGTGTCGGCATTTAATCACATTCTCACACCTTGAACCTCTTTCTATGATTCTCCAATCCATCCGACCCATTGTACATCCATCCCGGCGTTGCGTTGATTAACGGAGCCGACGACGATGAGGAAGCTCTCGAGTTGTCACCGGCAGCGGGGACGAAATGAGATGGAAGAATCTTGAGTGTGACGAAATAGGGTTGTAGAGATGGCATACTGGCGTTATGGATTTTTACTGGTGTTGCTCTTGCTGTATACTTAATTAATTTCTGATATGCAGGGGAAGCGTTCTGGTAGAGAAAGGAAAATCCAAGAGGGAAGACAAATTAGTGTTGGTGTTGATTGAGTCTAGCAAGTGAGTTAGGTCCCAATTCACTGATTGAAGCCACTATAGAGTATAGAGGACTGCATTGGAAACCTGGATTTCTTATACAATAAAAAAAAAGAACAAAGTTGAAGGCAAAGAAATGAAAACAAAGCTTAATTTGGTGTTTTGATACTTCAAGTTTGATATTTTTATTTTAATTATAGTTTAATACAATTTAAAATTTTATCTGTATTATAAATAGACGATAACCATAAATTTGCAACCAAAAATATTGTTGGTTCGAATATTTCATATCAAATTATAGTATTGAATATGTAGAAGCGATATAGAATTCTTAAATTATCATTAATTTTCAGAACTATAGTGAAACAATCATATCTTTGTGCAAACTATAGGGGACTGGTTCTCTGAACATTTTTGTCCGGTTAAATACTAAGGTTTGAAACTCTTCCTAGGGGTGTGCGTGGGTCGGTTCGTTTGGGTTTAGATATTTTAATCACCTAACTCATATACCACGATTTTGAAAACACTAAATACAAACTCACCCAAATAATTTAGAATTTTAACGGTTTGTGTCCTCCATACCAAATGACCAATTTACATGTCGCTTAACTAAGGACGATCTCATTGTCCAATCCCATCATTCTAATGTCAATCCATAAAAGTAACCCATATTCGGGTTTGTTAACACGTGTTTCACATTGTCATTACTGTGACCGGTAACTTCGCTGCAACTGATTCGGTATTGCTCATCATATAGCCTCCAAACTGATAAACATATGGGGCCAGCAGTTTTATTACAAAACTCAAAGTGAAGACAACTCATCGTCTGGTGGAATTTTGGCGCTTGTTGGTGTTCATTAATCTAATTGCAAACATAATGATTGCTAAAATTAAGCTTTCACGCAACACACTGGGAGTTGGGGTGTGTACTTGGAGTAAAAGTTGATATTGGGTTTGGGAAGGGATTAAGGGAAGTGGCGAGGGGAAGAAATTGTGTTTGGATTTGGTAGCAGGTAAAGTTCATGGTTCGGTTTCTTTTTGTAAGATGCTTTGATTTAATTTAGTTAGAGGTATAATATCATGATTATGTGGGATCAAATGAACCAAAAATGAGCTTGGGGAATGGGAATTCCAACTTAGAAGGAGTGGATTAGATTTTGATAAACTCAAGTTCATGATTAACTGAAAGAATATTTAGATTTAGACTTTGTGGTATTGAGATGTTCATAGAGAGTCTAAAACTGATCCAAGGCCATGGATTGATATTGGTTAGTTGATTGTAATTTTGAGGAAGGTGTATAAAAAGTCATGGAAGTAGTTTGCAACAAGTGAAGGCAGTGAAGAGGCAATTGGTCAGGGTAGTGATTTAACCAATGAGGGTATTGAAAGACATAGAAGCATAATCGGAGCAGTTGAAGAGAGAGAAGTGATAGATGATCAGGATATTAATGAAAATAGAGAGGGTATTGAAAGGTGTTGGAAGTGAACTGGATCAGTTGAAGGCAGAGAAGGAGGAGAAGAGCATATTGATGGAATTGAAGATGAGTGTTGGTTTTACGAGCTTATTAAAACTGCCCTGAGGAGGACGAGTTGGCCAAATACAAGAAAGAGGATTGAGGAGTTGGAGATCAAACTGACAAGAAACTCAATTGAAAGAGAAATTCAGGTTCATGGAGAGAAGGTACATCAAAGTAGTATAAATGGAGTTGCAGAAGGAGGATTACAAGTTGAATTTTGGTTTAAAACATATACGTCGAGAGATTGAAGATGGACGGCAACGGAGAGTGGAAACTATTGGATCTTTAGGTGTTATGGTTGTTGCAACTATCACAACCTATGTTTATGTTAAAACGAGGAATCGTTGATTGATTAACTAAAGTTAATGTCGATTCACTATTCAAACTACTGGAACCTGTAGATAAGGAGTGTCTAATTTTGTGCCTCATTACTTTGATCGAGTCTATTAGTATATTGGATGTAATTCTAATTTTGTCATTTGCTTTCAAGTTTTGATGGTTTCCTTTTAGTTGAGTTGTTAGCATATGATTTACTTGAATCAACAACTCTTCATTTCTTTTCTTTTTTTTATAAATCCATTTCCTTTTCATTAGTGGCATGTTATTCATAGAGGAGAGCTTTGAACCATTTATGTGGGATTGTGAGGTTTCATTTCAGTTTCAAACTATCTAGGGTAATGTCTATTTTTTACCCAAACCTTTTCAAAATTCTTTTATTTTACCCAAACCTATCAAAATTCTATTTATTATCCAAACTTATTGTAACTGATCAAAGTCTGGGCATTCGTTCTGTTACCGTTACTTATTTCGTAACAGAACTCCACGTTGGCATCCACGTGTCATACACGTCTGAAATTAATAAATTAAAAAATTATAATTTTTTTTGAAACTACAAATAAAATAATAAAAAATATTAATTCTATTTTTTGTTCCTTTACTCTCTCCGCCTCTTGACTATCTTTTTCCCAATCCTCTTCCTCCCTCGCCCTTCCCTTTTCCTTCCTCTTCTTCGAGAAAACGAAAAGCTCGATCTGGATCCTGGCCAAGCCAAATCAAGCACAGAAGCGTCGATCTAGATCTCGTCGAAGATGAAGCTCTAGGAACGCCGGTTTTGGCGGCGATGGCGGTTTTCGCAACAAGGGCTTGAGGGTTCTGAGCGCCGATCTAGATCTAGTCAGAGACGAAGCTCCAACAACGGCGGGTTTCGCGGTGATGGTGTCGACGGCGGGTTTGGCAGCGAGGGCTTGAGGTCGACGTCCTCATCTGCTCCTCGTCTTCTCTTCTCATCAATACCTGATGTAGTTGCTGCAACCTTGATGGAGATTGGAGCTACGGCCAGCCAGTTTGGGATTCAATCCTAGAAGTGTTAACAGAGAAGAGAGAAGAAGAAAAGGACATTTGAGTAAAGGTTCTACCATTTATGAGGTGGAATGGGGGATTGGGTCGTGAAAGAAGAATGGGAGAGAGAGGTATGGGCATTGGAGTGCTGCAAAGGAGAGGAAAAGCAATCGATTTGGAGAGTACAGGTAAAGCAATCAATTGGGCTAGAAGACAAGAGAATAAAGTGGCATAATAAAAAAATTAATTTATTGCCACATCAGCATTTTTTTTGCCCGCTCAGCACTTTTTTTGCCAGCTCAGTTTTAACTGACGGAACTGTTAATGGAAACTTAACGTTTGGATAATACATAGAATTTTGATAGGTTTGGGTAAAATAAAAGAATTTTGAAAAGATTTGGGTAAAAAATAGACATTGCCCAACTATCTATGGATCGCGTGAGAATTCCAATGAGCTTTTATATTATATATTTATGTACAATCTATTAATCAATATCATTTTAATGGGGGCTCAATTATCATTATGAAAATGGGATTAATGATACATTTTTATATTCTTAAATGAGGAGAGTATTTTCCTGAATATTCGACCTATATATTCATTCTTTATGTAGAATCTCGATTGAATGATTTTCAATAAACTTAAACAAATTAATAGACTTAAACATAACATAAAAATATAAATATTAAAATATGAACATTCCGGCCAACGGGCCGGATTATAAGCTAGTACACTAAACCAGTGCAACATCATCATTCATGTGGACCAATAAGAAACAGCGGCATCGGTACCGCACCTTTAATAGTGGCACTATAGTATGGGCCTTAAATCTAGTGTTCATGTATGTAATATCTCAATTAATTTTTTGACAGTCTTGTTATTGTAGCATTATGTCCATGAACTCCGGTTTCAAACCACGAATAATGATTTCTTCTTGTTCGAACTTCCAAAATTGAAATTTCAGTTATTCAATTTTGAGAGTTCAACATAATCACTTTTTGATTATGATGAAATATTGACTGATGGTCAATGTTTCCCGAGATAGTAACATCAACTCATTCTCTGGTATTTGCAATCTCACCTCATTGATTTTGGAGAAGATTGCAGAGAGATTATCCCAATCTTCCTTCACGGATTTTCTTTCTTTGATGCGAGATAGAAATTGGTCATCTCTTGCGACTGCTAAGATTTATACTATCTTGTCTTACCTTTGGTTTCAACCCTCCAAAAACTTATTATTCACTAGTGGTGAACCGATAATAACTTCCGAGAGCTTTTGGCATCTGAGATAAAACTCCATACTGGTATTTCAACTTCTATACTTGTCTCACCAAACTTTCTCGTAAAGATAACTGAGAAATCTTCCATCATTTTACTTGGTAACTCATCTAAGTTACCTATTTCAAGCTGGTTGAATAAATGCAACCTCTTACCACTTGATAGAGATTTTGTCAATAGCAATTCTCGGTCGAACCAGCTCTAATATCAAATACTAAAAATTCAACCTAAACTACAAAACATATAAGAAATAACCTTGACTTTGATACCACTTGTTGAATTTCATATCAACATGCTCTACACAACTTTATAAAGTTTGATAACTCGAACTATAAACTCAACTCCTATTAACTTCTTCTCATAACAAGCACTCATTATATCGGGTTGGGTATTGATCAGACACTTTAGGTGACATTATTCTTGTATACCAAAGATGCTAACTCAACCGAGATACCCTCAGTAGAACCATTCTAATGTTACCACAATACACCTCCAACATCGATCAACCCATGATCCTGAGAGTCTCAATGAAGGGCAGTTTCTCTCCAGAGGCAAGGTGGTCAAGCAGGTCCCTCAAACTTCTGCCCTTATAAAACGGCTTCAACAACTCATCACCGTCCATTTCTGCAGCTGGTTCCACCACTTCATCCATGCCAAAGCTAAGCAAACTCGCCACGGAAATCCTGCTGCAATTGTCAGGTGAGCATTGAGATACACGATGCACAGCTCCTCTGTACCTCCCATTGCTCAATACCTCAAGCTGATCCCCAACAAGAACCTGCAATGTATTCTGCGCACCACCTGCAGATCCATTACTTTAACTACTGATCTCTCACTAGTTTCTATATTTCCCCATTGCGCAATGTTAACTTTACCTTGTATAATTTCTGATGGGGCAGCGGCATCTTTCCAATTGCCATCGGTGGGATCCAAAACGTGGAGGCCGGGGCTGGTCTGAAGCAGGACAGTGATCAAGGTGTGGTCTGTGTGCGGAGGGATCCCAATTTGGGCTGCAGAATTGGAGAGCAGCTGCTGCTGCAGCCCAGTGTGGTAATGGTTGACAGCCATCATGTGCATTCCTTCAGAAGTGACTTTGTGGAGCAGTGGCGATGGATCAGTTATGTGGAGGCTTTCCAGCATCGGTTTGAGAAGTGAAATGCTGAGGTTCCTTGTTTCCTTGCTGTACTTCCCCATCTTTGACCTGCATTTGCCAATATGGATATTGGAAGAAAGAACTTGACCCGAACTTTAAAAAGAAAAGAGAATGTTCTGTTACCTATAATCTGGGGGATACGACGGCCAAAACTCGATCCAATCTTCCAAGGGGAAGCTATAAAGCTTGAGGAAATCCCTGACGAACGTCCCACAACCACTTCCATGGCCTCCCCTGCTATCCAGCACCGTACCAAATCTCACCGGCTGGTAAACGTCGCCGGATTTCAGCGCCTCCTTCACTTCCGGTGGAGCTTCTTCGAACCTCCTGTTCGCGTCCACGGCGTCTCGTATGGTTTCGTCGCTGATGCCATGGTTAATCACCTGCCGAAAGAAAATTACAGTGAGAAAGCAGGAGGAGAAGGAAATGGCAGGGGAAGGGAGGGAAAACAGAGGACGGAGAAGAAGACGTTGAAGAAACCGAAGGTTCGGCAGGCGGTGGCAATTTGGTCGATGGCTTTGGCTCTGGTTTCAGGGTTGGGACTGTGTAGATGGGAGAAGTCAATGATTGGGGATCTTGAAAGCTCCATTGATGATTTGATTAAATGAAGCTCTTCCTTTTTGGCGGTGATTTAAATAGCCACGGTGCAGAGCTCCCGCTGCCCAAGACCTTATCTTGGACTTACGTGTCGTGGTAGCATGTAATTCGAACCAAAAAAAAATTACAATCCGCTTGAAATGCTAAGTTGTGATGTCAGTTTGTTTGATTGGTTAAGAAAAGGGAGAATTGCTCGAACAATAAAAAAAAATCGAACTTTAGGATTCTAATTGAGTGAACACTCATCTCCTCCACTCGTTTTCCTCTCGCCTTCCTTTATTCTTTCCAGGCAATGGCTGCCGCCGGTCAATTCTCGCTCCTCTCTCCCATTTCCCCTCGATCAATTCCTCCAAACAAACCCTTCTCAGGTACCCAATCCCCAATTCTTCCAACCCGAAACAGAGTCTCAATCACCAGAGCAAAGAAATCCGGGGCAGATGTTCGTGAAGAAGAGATTGTGATAGTCGGCGCCGGAATCGCCGGACTTGCCACTGCAGTTTCACTCAAGAGGTAATACAAATGCACTTTGTTTTTTTCTTTCTTGTGAATTTGTCTCTGGGAAATATGTGAAGTTGGCAGCTTGATTGGTTTTCACTTCAGGCTGGGAATTGGGTCGGTGGTGCTTGAGCAGGCGGATTCCTTGAGAACTGGCGGAACCTCGCTTACCCTGTTCAAGAATGGATGGAGGGTTTTGGACGCCATTGGAGTCGCCGGTGAACTCCGACCCCAGTTCCTCGAAATCCAAGGGTATGAAAGTAAAACTCTGTAGAACCTTCAATTTCCTTTCACATTTCCTAAATTTCTGGTGTCGATCAGCTGTACAGGATGGTGGTGAAATCAGAGGATGGGCAGCAGCTTCGCTCTTTCAGGTTCAAAGATGAAGATCAAAGGTAGATCAATCATTCTGGGTTCTTTTTTGCTTACTCTCCTGGCAATGATCTGAATCGTCATTTGCAGAATTAACTTCTAGCTTCCACTTTTGCTGATAGCACAGCCAAGAAGTGCGCGCTGTGGAGAGGAGAATCCTCCTGGAAACTCTAGCTAACCAACTTCCAACTGAATCGGTTCGCTTCTCGTCAAAACTAGCCAACATCGAGACATCAGAGAACGGCGCAACTCTTCTGCAACTCACAGATGGGACACAGATACTTGCCAAGATCGTTGTTGCGTGCGATGGCATTCGATCTCCGGTGGCCAAATGGATGGGCTTCTCCGACCCCAAATACGTTGGACATTGTTCATTCCGCGGACTGGGAGTCTACGATGGTGGGCAGCCATTCGAGCCGAGGGTGAACTATGTGTATGGAAGAGGAATACGTGCTGGATATGTCCCGGTTTCGCCCACCAAAGTCTACTGGTTCGTCTGCTTCAACAGCCCTTCTCTAGGTCAGTCCACATTTTGCTCCAACCCTATCGGTTTTGAATGAGCTACTCCTTATCCGAGCTTCAGTTCAGTTACGGTTACCACAAAGTTTGAAGTAAATATTTCTGCAACTCTTGCATCACAGGTCCACGAGTCACTGATCCCTCCATCCTAAAGCAACAAGCCAAAGACCTTGTCAAGAACTGGCCCTCAGACCTCCTCAACTTGATCGATATAACCCCCGATGAAACTTTAAGCAAGACTCCCCTAGTCGATCGTTGGAATTGGCCTGGCATAAGCCCCGGACCTTCTCGAGGAAGCGTGGTTCTTGTTGGAGATGCTTGGCACCCAATGACGCCTAATCTGGGGCAAGGCGCTTGCTGTGCATTGGAGGACTCTGTAGTTCTGGCGAGAAAGCTTGCTGCTGCGATTGAGTCCGGACCATCTTCCACAGCGATAGACGAGGCTTTCAGATCATATGGGGAAGAGAGGTGGCCTCGTGTCTTTCCGTTGACAATCCGGGCGAATGTGGTTGGATCGTTGTTGCAGTGGGAGAACCCTGTGGTTTGTGGTGTGAGGAATCGCGTTGTGATTCCTAAGCTTGTGAGGCTTGGACCGATGCTTGAACACACCGATTTTGAATGTGAGCCTTTAGTAAGTGCCAAGTGAATAGCTGATCAAGAGCCCAGTAATGACGGAGACTGATAATGGAACAAGAAGACAAGTTTGGTGAAAGAGGAAAAGCTTGCAAATTGGTACAGCTGAAAGACGACAACCTAATTAGAAGAAACAAGGGATACATCCAATGTTGGCTACAGAGCATAAATTCATTCTCTCATTCAACTTAGACAATGGAACAATGATTCGCAAAACCAGTAGCTTACAGTTGCAAAACTCTCAAGTGCTTCCGCTGCAGAAACATACATTGTGATGAACCCTTTTCGTTTTGCCTCACATGTTCAATGGCAGACTTCTGGGGTAACATTGCAGCTCGAAATCTCTGAGGTCACTGGTGAGTCGCCATGGAATCGCTGATGCCAATTTGTATGCAGGGACGGCAAAGTTCAGTTTCTCAAATTCTAGATTCTGCCAACAAAGGGGGAGGAGAAATTATTAGGACGAGATTATCAAACAGATCCACTTACCGGACTAAGCTTATATCCTGCAAAATCGAACAGATTTCCCCAATATCTCTCAATAAGAACGAGTTTTTTCCTTCCCTTCCCTTTCCCGGAATCCAATCAATTGGTTAACGGAAGACCAACCCAAATGAGGGAAGTGATTTCAAGCAAAACCCAAATGCCAAATTACCCCAAACAAACAGCAAAACCGATTGGGATGCAATACAGTCATTCGATCAACGTTCTTTCTAGCAAAGCCAAAATCTTTCAATATCTTGAGCCTGGAAGGTGGAGCGCGAGCGATGCCCAAAGCTCTCGGAATTGAACAGTAAGCAATGAAAAAGGTACCTGTGCTGGAGAAGAACCAGAGAACGATGGCGGAGAGGAGAAGGACGAGAGGGATGAAGTGGACGGCGTTCTCTGCGGATCTGAGACGGGAGATCTCCTTCTTGGCCACGTGGGAGAGGGGATCGTAGGTTGGGAGATCGTGAAATGTGGTGGATTTTGATTTGGGGATGGAGTAGCTTGGACGGTCCTCGTCGGAGAACCGGGAGGTGCTCGAAGATCTATGCATAACTCTTCTTTTTCCCCCCTGTATTGATGGGTTGAAGACGCGGCAAAGAAACTGGTTGTGGCGGCGTCAATACTCAAACCCAGCCAGGCGCCTTTTGCTTTCCTTTCCTTTCCCCCGCTTTCCTTGCGTTTACTTTTCTCCTGGTTTTTGTTTTTAGTTTTTAGTCGGCTGTACATAAATGGAAAAGTATTTTACGTAATGGTCACCAAACTTTGGGTTCAATACGAAATTGGTGAATTGAATATAAATTTGTAGCAAATTAGCTTGTTTGCTGTTGCTTGGTCTATTAGTATTGGAATTTTCAGCCAACTATCCCAAAGCAATAGCAAAAGCACCGTATAAGTACTAATTAGATGAGAAGTTGGTTGACATGAACAAGTGAAATCTAGTTAAGTCAGGCTCTTTGCTCAACAACAATTCCAACTTATATAGTGTCAAATCATCACCGCAATCTATTATTGTTTCTTTATCAAAACAGTTCGTACAAGAGGGATTACATGAAATTTCTGTTGATTTAACTAAACCGACACATTGATTCGAGTTATAAATGTGAACATAATGAAAATAAAATGATGTTTTTTCTCACTATATCACAACCAAAATGGGTTCAACTTTGAATCTAAATTGAGTGACTCAATTACTAGTGAATTTTCAATCAGAGCTCATAAGACCATGAGTATTTTTGTAGCTTTTGCAAATTGAATGTGACACATCCTTATTCATCATTCTTAACCAAACCAACTTAACAGAATTTCAACAATCTTACAAAAACGATATTTGACCTCAAATTGAACCAATAATCGAAATATATTATATATCAAATTTATTAATGTAAAAAGTGTATAATTTTGGGTGCCTATGGCTATAAGGATTTCCTTTATTATTAAAAAAAAAGGATTGAAGTTCTAAACCTGTAAATTGGAATCCCTTTCTAGTTCGAGTTAAACAAAAACACAGTTTAAACGCGGTCACATGTGGCCCCGTCGACACGTCACAACTACTTTTCCGAACAAAAAAAAGAAGAATTGTCTCCCAAAAATCGGGGCTTCTTTATAATAATCCCCAAACACGCCTCTTCCCATCTTCTTCTCTCTTTCTTTCCTTCCCATCTCCGACTGAAATTCCAATTCCTCATTTCCACCCAATTTCTCTCTCGTTCTCCTCTCTCTCTCTCTCTCTCCTGCCGCCGGCGTCAGCTTTGATTCGCTCGGCGATTTCAGTTCGCGTCGATCTCCTTGCGCCGCCGCCATCATGAATCCTGAATAGTAAGTAGCTCCTGATTCTGAACCCTCAATCATGCGCTCTAATTACTTCTGTTTCTCCGCCGTGGACATCAATTGTTCTTCGCGTACGCCTCAGAATTCTGGATCTGATCATCGATTACCGTTCCGGTTTCCTTCGCTTGCGTTTGTTCTTAGATCTAGGCGGTTATCGCTTTAGATCCGTTCCGCACAGATTTTGTTTTGGCCGGATTCTAGTTTTTATATTTTATTTTGTGGCTTGCGATGATGTGTTGATGAATCAATTCCTGCTGCTCCTCAATTTGTTACTGCAGCGATTACTTGTTCAAGCTTTTGCTTATTGGAGATTCTGGTGTCGGGAAATCGTGTCTGCTTCTGCGATTTGCTGTGAGTTTTTTCTCCAACTCTTCGTGAATTCGGTTTGTGTTGCTCTTCAGGGTTTTCCATATCTAATACTCCTTTGTAGCTTTAATGAACTGGAAAATTTTGTTAGGAAGCCTTCAATTTATTACCTGACCTTAGTGCACGATGAAATTGTTAGCTATGGAAAACCCTGAACCTATATGTTTTTTATTTGGTTGGAATGTAATGTTTTGGTTGCCGGAGCTGTAATTTTTGGGTTGAAATTTCGTGGTGACGGCTTGTGATTATTTGTTGATTAGGATGACTCTTACCTGGACAGCTACATCAGTACCATCGGAGTTGACTTCGTAAGTACATAGTTTTGCTGGATCTTTGGTTGTTTTTGTACCTGCTCTTTGTCTGTTAATGGTTACTAATCGCCATCGATGTTGTTGCTTGTAGAAAATTCGCACTGTGGAGCAAGATGGGAAAACCATTAAACTGCAGATTGTAAGTTGGCTTTTGCTCTTTTTCCTGTGGCTTCACTGTTTTGAACAGGACTGGTTTCTATTGTGTTTTGGTTATAATGGGTCCAAGATAGGGTCAGTAACCACTGGTTACTGACCCATCAGTAACAACACGCGGGCCGTTGATTTGGGGAGGGAGAAATCGTGTGGATGGGCTGGACGCTGGGTGGGGAGGGACATTTTTGTCCGTTTTCGTATTTTTAATTTTTTATTACTTCCGCATTTCAATGGCTGGCTTTTCAATAAAAGGGAGAGAATCTTCCTTCTCTGCAACTCAACTTTCTTCCTTCTCTCTTCCTTTTTTCAATCTCTTCCATAACCTTTCTCTTTCTCTATTCCTTCTCTCTTACTTTTTTTTCTCACAATCTCCTTTTCAAATCTAAATCTGCTCTCTTCCTTCTTCATTTTTTTTCTCTAGCATAAAAATTGTAGCCACTCTCTTTCATTACATTTCTTCTCTTCATCAACTCGTTGGACTCAATTCCGATCTTTCTCATTTTTTTGGCATTTTGGTGTTCTTGATTGAGGAAGAGGAAATGAGAGGCATCAGAAGACGATTTTTTTCTCTCCCTCCTTCTGTTTTTTTTCTTTTAGATAATATATATTGATATTATGACTCTATACCATATGGTATTGGGTGGTAACGAAATATATATTGACATTACCATACTATACCCTATGGTAATTTATGGTATTGCGTGGTAACGAAATATATATTGATATTACCACACTATACCATATGGTATTGTGTGGTAACGAAATATATATTGATATTACCACTCTATACCATATGGTATTGTGTGATATTACCACACTATACCATATGGTATTGTGTGGTAACGAAATATATATCGATATTACCACACTATACCCTATGGTATTGGGTGGTAACGAAATATATATTGATATTACCACACTATACCATATGGTATTGGGTGGTAACGAAATATATATTGATATTACCACACTATACCATATGGTATTGGGTGGTAACGAAATATATATTGATATTACCACTCTATACCATATGGTATTATGTGAATTGTGTGATATTACCACACTATACCATATGGTATTGGGTGGTAACGAAATATATATTGATATTACCACTCTATACCATATGGTATTATGTGAATTGTGTGATATTACCACACTATACCATATGGTATTGGGTGGTAACGAAATATATATTGATATTACCACACTATACCATATGGTATTGGGTGGTAACGAATTATATATTCATGTGGCAAATATTACCATACCACATGGTATGCTATTGTTTAATACCAATCAATACCATATGGTACAGTCAATACCATATGGTATGACTGGTAATAACTGACAAATTTTTTTGTGTCCAAAAAATATCAAAGTGGATATCATTTTGAAGAGCACAATTAATCTGATCTAACTGTGCAAAAAAAATTAAATTTCGACTTAAAACGAGTGAGAAATCGTCCGTCAAAGATTAAGGAAAGGAAAATTAAATGTTTTGCCAGGAGAGAGAAGGAGGGGTTGATAGGCTCCGGTCAAAAGTGAGCATCAATAATAAATAGGAGTAAGTGCAATTTTACCGTACTACCCTTTTCACATTTAATTTAAATAAAAAAGTGACTGACACGTGGGGACCAGGGAAGGGGTTACTGATGGGTTACTGACCCATCAGCTACTGACAAGATCCGGACCCGTTATAATGTGTGCCGATAATGCAATACCCAACATTGGTAGTATCGAATGCCAAGGAACACGTTGATGCTCTGTCTATGGATATAACCTTAGTCTAGTAACTGATTGCCACTCTCCACCTGCAGTGGGACACAGCAGGGCAAGAACGATTTAGGACAATCACGAGTAGTTACTACAGGGGTGCGCATGGCATCATTGTAAGTTTGACACCCTTTTCCTTCTGTCTTCTGTCTTCTGCTTTATCTTCTGTCTATCTCGCTGATTTGAGTGGTCTGTCTCGGATAGGTTGTTTATGATGTCACCGACCAAGAGAGTTTCAACAACGTAAAGCAGTGGTTGAATGAAATTGATCGATATGCTAGTGAAAATGTGAACAAGCTTCTAGTGGGGAACAAGAGTGATCTGACAGCCAACAAGGTTGTTTCATATGAAACAGCGAAGGTAATATTGCCCTTCACATTGTGTGGTTTACTGTACAATAAAAATCGCTAGAGAAATTTTGCTGAAACAACTTATACATCTCTTAGGCATTCGCTGATGAAATTGGGATACCGTTCATGGAGACAAGTGCCAAGAACGCCTCCAATGTAGAGGATGCTTTCATGGCGATGGCTGCTGCAATCAAGACCAGGTACTTCTGTTACTCCAAACAATTATATGCATGTTCTCCTTCTCTTTGTTGCTGTGATCTTACAGTGGTGTTGTAACTTGCTCACAGGATGGCTAGCCAACCTGCATCAAACACGGCCAGGCCACCAACCGTCCAAATCCGTGGCCAACCTGTTAACCAGAAGTCAGGCTGCTGCTCTTCTTGAGAAGCTAGAACCACAGGCATTCTGTTCGTGACGTTTAATCTCTCGTTCTATCCCTGTGTGGCATGTGAAACTTAGTTCTCTCTATTCTTAACGCTTTTGATATGAAAGAAGCAATTACTGTTTGTTCTCTGTTTTCACCTTCCTTATTTTTCCTCGTCCTTTCTGTTTAAACTTTGATTCTCTGATTGTAATTTGAATTCAGGAAGGTTAAAAAAAACATTTGTACAAATTAGGAAATACTGTTGAATAGCAGCTCCGTTATGTCCTCTTTTGTCTCCCTTGTGTTCCACTCTATTATTTTCTACCATCGCACACTCCATGGGAAGACAACTTATCAGCTTGATTAGATTAGGGTTTTGTCATGAAAGCGACCTGTCTTCCAATAATTGCGTGGGAGATTCCCCAAGCTAGAAGACTCTTTATCTTTGCACTGTAGATGTGGGCATCTGAAGTAATGCCAGCTTAACCCACTTCAATCCTTGCCACTTAAGGATTATTTTTAGGGGTATCTTCACAATTAGGCTATGATTGAGATGGAATCATTGCAGCCCACATAGTTAAGTAACTTCGAGCTTTGCCTTAACGATTTTGTCATAACGACTATAAGTCGTTTCCGGTCTAGTTATGCCTTCGGGTTAACAAAATCTGCCACTCAGGTTGATGTTATTTGATTATCGATTTGGAAAAATGGACTGTAAAGTAGCACATTTCAAGTGGGGGGGATCTACCAGTAATCCCTACAAGAGCAAGATCCATCTTTGAAATGATGAAACCTCGTAGTGTCCCTCACGATTATCTCCCTCTTTTCGATTTCTGAAATACACTTTGCTGCGCGATGGCAATCCGCACAGATCCTCAAGTTCTTGAACACCCGAATAGGAACTCCTGGCGGTAGCTTCATCAGCCCATATGCAATGGCGAGCTTCTCACTGTGCCTCAGCAACAACTGCTTTTTCTCGGCTTCCCCAACATCATGCAATGCACATTCAAGATCAGGGACGTAACCGGCCAGCTTCATCTTTTCCTCTAACTCGTTTAGCTTCTCGTGTATCGAACCCAAGTGTGGATGAATTCTATCCCCGGATCTAAACTCATGGACTATGTTCTTCACATCAATCCAACTGTACCCAGGTGTCTTCACCACGTTGCTCCGATTCATCAACTGACGGACCCTGGCAACATCATTCCACTTGTTCGTTGCAGCATAGACATTGGCGAGTTGAACGTAGGCAGCTGCACTCGTCGGGTCAAGATCGAGTAGGTTCTTTGCAGCAAATTCGGCAATTTTGGTGTTCTTGTGTATCCTACAGGCACCCAAAAGGGTTCCATATATAGCCGGATGAGGCTTGAATGGCGATTTCTTGATCAAGTCTACAGCTTCATCAAGCTTACCAGCTCGACTAAGAAGATCGACCATACAACTATAGTGATCCGGTTTTGGTTCAACCCCGTAATCCTTCCTCATCGAATTGAAGTAGTCTGTCCCTAGATCGAGTAATCCAGCATGGTTGCAAGCTAGCAAAACTGCAACAAAGGTTATCCCGTCTGGACTAATCCCAGCTTTCCTCATTCCGTCAAACAAACTAAGAGCTAGTTCGCCTGCTCCGTGCTGAGCATAACCTGAAATCATGGCATTCCACGTGACGAGATCTCTTCTGGGCATTTCTACAAACAGCTTCTTGGCATCTTCCAGAGCTCCACATTTACAGTACATGCTGATCAACGAGGTCCCTGCTGTTGTATCGATATGCAGTGGTGATTTACACACTAGCTGATGAACTTGCTTACCCAATTGCAGAGAAGATAACTCGCTACATCCCAACAAAACACTGCTCAAGGTTGAAGGATTTGGACTAACACCGCCGGCCATCATTTTCTTGAACAGCTTCACACCAGCTTCAGCTCTAGAATTCTCGACATAACCAGAAATCATTGTGTTCCATGTGACCAAGTTCTTCTCCGGCATTTCCCAGAACAACTTCTCTGCAGTTTCAATACTCCCAAGCTTCATGTGCCCAGTTATCACCGCCGTCCAAGCAACCACGCTCTTAACCGGCGCAGTTTCGAAAAGCTTCACCGCTCTATCCAACTCCCCACACTCAACATACCCAGAAATCATAGCGTTCCAAGTAACAACATTTCTCGACGGCATTGCAGAGAACAACTTCCCCGCTTCCTCCATTCGCTGATTCCGGGCTAGCCCGGTTATCATCGTGTTCCAAGAAGCTGCATCCTTGCGAGGGATTCGATTGAAGAAGCCTAGAGCCGCTTCCATGTCAGAGCTGTTGACGTAGCACGCCAACATGGTGTTGTAGGAGACGGTATCTGGTTGGGGAATTTTCACAAACACCTCCTGGGCATCTCTCAATCTCCCGCGCAACTTCGAGTAGCCGGCCAAGATCGAGTTCCATGTGACCGTTGTTCTGACGGACATGTTGCGGAACACGCCGAGAGCAGCATCCAGGTCACCGGATCGGACGTAGCTGGTGATCATCATGTTCGAGAGGATCACATCGTCACCTCCGTTGGGGGAAGCAGCCGGGGAATAGAATTTGCTCTTCGGAGCTGGACCGCCGGCGGATCCTGGCTTAGCCGCGTGGTCTTGTGGGGTTTGGCTGGCGGAGGTGGAGAAGGGAAGCCATGGATGTTCGGTTAGAGGCAAGCCCCTGAGGAAGCGATGAGAGGATGGGTTTCGTAGTTGCCCGGCGAAAAATGCTGTTCTCATTTTACTTTATTATTGAACAGTACCACTCTCATTTGTAAAAGTAATCCTTTCATACAAATTATTCAACAGTTCGTTTCCTGCAAAGAAATGGCCAATTGGCCATAGCCCATAAGTTCGAAGTTGGTCACTTAAGGTCCACCTCTTAGTTCCCTTTAGATTTGAAACTTCAAATGCTCAAACCTAATTCTACCCCCTTAAACAACAGAACTAAACCGCGATTACGAGATCGAGATCAAATGATATGTGATTTCATAATGATGAAATCATTTCAGAAGTATTCATTTGATGATAATTAACTTTCTCTCAGGAGATAATTTTGGTTAAATGGTCAATCCGCACAACACTCTCATCCATCTTTCACTATGAATGGAAAGCACCATCAGACATTCGGCGATGCTTATCAAAACTCCACTTTGCTAATAATTCGACAAAACACCCGACTCATTAGACCGAAATAATGAGACTCGTAAAATCCAAATAATGATGCAAACCTATCACAACATACTTTACTTAAGCTATGGAGGCTGCAATTCAAACACCATTATTACAGTAAGATAATTTAACCTACATCATTGTTGAATCAAGTTGAATTTACTTGCACTCCAAGTCGCTTAAAAGTTAAAACTGTAACTCATCGAGATAACGGAAAACACACCAAGGTCCATAGCACATACTACGAAGGCCTTCCCGAGGGAAATGAACCAAGTGGTGAGATACATTGGTGTCTGTACCTAGGGTTAGAACCTAGCCACTCGACCATGGCCCAAACAGAGAAGCCTGTTTCTATAGGGCAGACCTAAGCGCAGTTGAGGAGACCCAAATCAATCAAGGATAAGAGATGGAAGTGCTCAACACAACAAAATATCAAGAGAAATACAGAAAGGAAATATAGCGAAGAGACCAAAACGAAAATGGCAAGTAGTACAACTACAAATCCCTAAAATTGACAAAACAAAACTGATTCTAAATGCTAACCATCCAAGTTCCAAAAGACAAAATGACTCAAAGACTCTCCTAAACTTACCTGTTTTAACCAAAAATATAACAAAAGGGGGGACATAATGAAAAAGAAAAGCGACGACAAGAGTATCATGCTTATCCAAAGTTGCAGCAAAGGAATCACTGGCAGAAGATAGACCCAAGACAGGCATATCTAAAATTTACACCCAAATTAAAACTAAAACAAGAGTTGAATTTAAAATATGCGTTCTGTTCTTGAGCGCGCGACTCCTGATGATAACAAACCAATCCCCCTTCGACTACACCGGACTTCTCTTCTTGCAGCAAAACCTCACTTGCCGCCCAGCGACGGGAACTGCCCTGGGTCCTCAATGGATGGGGCTGACACGTCGCGACTGTTGTAGCCTCCTCCATATCCTCCGCCGGTTCTACCACCACGATCACCACGCCCACGTCCCCTGCCACGACCACCACCTCTGTAGGGGTTATCGCCTTCAGCTGGCTTCAGGAACTCGTTTATGCTCACAGACTGCGTTTCATAAAGACCAATCATCAGCCAGTGCCCATCAAGGTTAACAAAGAGAGAGCTAGGGGGGGACAGGCCCGTGTGATACAAGATTACACAAAACGAACCTTCTTAACCCTCTCTTCCCTTTCAGCAGCAGTTTCTTTCTTCTTGTCTTTCTCAGAACCCTAACGAACCCAAAAATTTCTCGAGTCATTACTTAAATTCTTGATCATATTCATAAAATTTTGTGGATGGGTTTAGTTCTCTCACCAGCTTGGCAAAGATTTCAACATTTTCCTTCTTGCAGGACAGCTGTTGCATGGACTCGAATTCTTTAGCATCAACCTTCCTTTCCTCGGTCTTCAGAGCAAGCAAAGCCTTTCTCTTCTCCTCAAGAACCTTCTCATACTCCTCCAGAGTCATCTCCTGCTTTGAAGGAAAACCATAGAACAGAGATGGAAATTAAAACAAGCCAAGTGTACTGACACTAGGTCACTACTGAACACACAAACAACAAAGATATGTTAGATTCCCACCAAAGTTAACCTTTTCTAGATGTGTGTTGTACTAATGTAGAGATGCAAGCTAATGTAACAAACTTCACGCAATCGACAACTCACAAGGAGACCATAAACCATAAAGCAGATGAGTGAAACAGTTCATAACAACCACTGGACTGCATAAGGACATGAACTCCATCGCAACTTGAAAACAAGTGTAAAGTTGAAATAGTTTGTAGATACAGAGTATAAGATGAGAAATCAATCGACCTTATCCTCCTCAGGCTCTTTCTCCTCGGTTTCATTTGCAGGACTGTCCTTGTTGGCATCAGCAGCCTCTTCCTCTGCAGGTTTCTTCTCAGCAGTGGCATTCGCCTCATTCTCAACCACAGGTTCCTCAGTCCCACTATACCAAATAAACCAAAACACAATCAAACATCACAAGCGAATCGAACATCATACCAATCTTGTGACATTTGTAGAACAATAACTTACGGTGCAATATCATCTGAAGCAGTCCCCCAGTTTCCACGACCGGACCCTTCACGCTTCATCTCGCTCCTGATGCATACAAATTGGCAAACAATCTTAGTTACGCAATCAAACACTAAACTGACAAGCTAATTACTAAACCATCAAGGAAATACTAACCCACGGCCAGTTCCACTGCGACGCTCATAAGGCCTTCTGGGGCGCTCACCCTCACCAGCTTCCCCATTGCTGTAGCCACCTCGGCGGCCTCCACGGAAAGCACCGCTACCACCAGGACGAGGACCACCATAGTTACGCCTCTCAGATGTCCTCCCTGACTCGCCATCTTCAGATGGCTTGCTGTTCCCAAAACCAGCATCGTAGTTGTTAGGCTCCCGGTTGAAACCACCGCCACCGCTTCGACCTCCACGGCCAGAGCGCGTTCCAGCACCACGACTTCCTCCTCCTCGCCCACCTTCATTTCTTGATTCCCTCACTACTCAACATAACAAACCAGCAAGTAAACAACCAAGCTAAAAACAACCATAGCACTAAACAATCGAACCCTTAACCACACACTCCAACTGGGCACGGAATAACTAACATGGAGAATAGACCTAGGATATCAATCTCCATACAAACGAAAATCACAACGCACAGCTCAAAGAAGCTAAATAGTGAACGAATCAATCACAGCAATAGTCTCCATCCATCTACGGGTCCAAACCAAAATCTGAATACAAACAGCTCAATAAACCGGGGCGAAATAGAGAAATACAGTGATTCGGAGCTCCTCACCAGCTTGAGCAGGGGCAAGCGGCTTATTAACGAGCTTGCCTTGCGGAGCTTGAGCAGCAGCAGGAGTGGCAGCAACCTTAGGCTTCTCCTTCTCGGCCTTAGCGATGAGCAACGAAGGATCGTCGTTATCGTCGTCTCCGAGGAGATCGAAGGGGTTCATGGTCGCCATTTCTGTTCTTCCGATTACTTCGCGAAACCCTCCCTTCACCAATCAAATTAAAGAGCCTCTGGAACAGTATAGACCGCTCTATTGATTGCTGGACGCCATAGCCGAATGAAGAGAGTGTTCGGTGGGAGAGAAAATGGGGAGAAACAAGAGAGAAAATTATTGTGAGAGAGTTAATATGTGGAAAACCCTAGCCACTGCGGCTGAAGAGAAAATGAGACAAGTGAAGAGAGTGAGCTTTGGCATCCTAATCTTAAAAACCCTAGTTGGAAGAGGTGGGAGTGTTTCGCTGCGGGAGGGTGCAGTTTATTGCTCGTGGAACCCGCTGTGAGACATTAAGATCTGTTCGTTGATTGGGTGATGCCTCATTAACAAGTAGGGATGTCCGTGGATATCCGCCCGAATCCGACCTAATCGGATAGGGTAACCGTGGATATCCGCCCGAATCCGACCTAATCGGATAGGGTAAAACCCGAACTCGAAAGACTTTTAGTGGGTATGGGTAAAACTCGAACCCGAATATTGCGGGTAATGGGTGGGCATGGTTTTCTCACTATCCAACCCGAACCCGCCCGATTATACACATGCATATGTATTTTGTTTAGAAATAATCAATATTTTTCTCTAACATACTTTATATTTAGCATATAAATATCATTTTGTTTATGAAATTATGTTGTTTTAATTAATTTTCTTCATTCTAGTGAATTATTGTCGTACTTTTCGTCTTACGTGACGTGAGAATACGTGTAAATATTAACATATTGGTTGGAGTTATAAATAAAAACTATTATCCTTGGATAATTGTGGATACCCGAAACCCGAACGGGTATGGGGCATGGTTTGGATTTTCTACCCGTTTCTTATGTGGGTAAGGGCATGGGTAACGCCCGAACTACTTTGGGTAGGGTAACGGATAGGCACTATCCGTCCCCGACCCGACCCATTGCCATCCCTATTAACAAGATTCTTTACGGTATTTTTGTTTATTAGAGTGACTACTAGCCCCGGATCGCGGTTATTCGAATAGGGGAAAGTAATTTTGGGTACTTCAGTTAAATGAATGGGAAAGTAATTTCCTCTTTGGGTCGTTCCAAATTCCAATAGGTAAAATTCTCTTCCCGGTGATCATCGGTGATCGTATCTATTACCGATATAAGCAAAATTCTTTGTCGTGTAACTTTCGAACCTCACAAAAGGCGTAACGATTTGGGCACTGTCTCGGAAAGAGGCTCAGTGAAATAAATATGTTTGTGAGTATGCGGATTACCTGCACATAGACTGAAAGACCCTATGAAACTTCATTGTTCCTTGGGATTGACTTTTGGCGTTCGATGCGTTATAGAGAGGAGTTATGTCATTTGAATGAGGAATTTTGATGGATCAATTTGATCCAGTTATTTTGTTTTTAGACAATTTGACCAAATTGACACGTTTGGCAACATAAAATTTTGCTTCCTCCGACGACGCAAACACAACAATCTTCTTCCTCCACGCCCATCAGTCGTCCTTGTCGCCCTCGGCGTCGTCACGCCATTGCAACACCACCAACAACCACTTCCCGTCCCAATCCCACTCCTCCACGTCGCATGGTTACTAGCCTCCAAACCGGCCGTCTCAAAACAAAATCCTTTATCACCGCCTCTCTTCCCCCATTACCCACCTCCCCTAGCATAGCTA